ATGTATTGCTGTGTATACTCTTTTATTATGTGTCCTGACCTGTTTGTTTAGTGTTGTTGACTTCTATTGAACATTAGCTTCAAGCAAACCTGGGCATAAATGATGAAGGTTATACAAGGCAAAGAAAAAAAAAAAAAAATCAGTGTATTGTGACGAACGCAATATTGCCGGCACACTTTAATATGAAGTTTAGCAATTAAAAAAAAATAGGAATTCATTCATTCTGACAAACTCTCCTTATCCTGCCATGATCAAACGCATCCCTCCAGGCATATTATTATCCCGTACAAACGCAACAGCAAAAAAACCTCCACCACCACCCTGGTTTTGCCCGCTCATCAGCACCCCCTCTTCTCACTCAGCCCACTTGCCCCACCCTTGCATCCTCATCCCCTTACCTCATCCCCCTTCCTCTGCTGCTCTTTCTTTCATTCATTCCTTTCCTTTGTACTGTGAGATGCAGAGAGGAAGAGAAGGAAAAGGGAGGGGGGGGGAGGTTGGAGGGAAGGAGAGGGACCTTTTGTTAGCTTTCAGGTGGTTTCACATGAAAAGCCAGAGTACACACCTAGGTTGCCGCCACCGGCGACCCACGGCGTCTCACTTGCTTCCGCCGAGTATACCTGAGTTGGCCTTCAATTGGCTCCGCGCGGCCCGGGCATGCACGACTACAGACAAAAGGCACGGTGAGCACAATAACAAAAAAAAAAAAAATGTGCAGAAAAACACTTCTGTCAACTTTTGGTCTGTGGTCTTAGATCGGAGAGGAGGAATGATTAGGTGTATGATATGCAAAGGAATGGTATGGGGGGGAGTGTGGGTGGGGCAGGGGATGTGGGTGAGGAGTGTGTGTGTTGAAGGGGTGGAGGGGGGGGGAGGTTGATTGCACGGCTACTTTCTCTGTTCTCTCCCCTGAATGGACTCTTCTTGCTGCAAGGAGCTCAGGTAGCCTTGTGTGTGTGTGTGTGTGTGTTTTATTCCCAGGTAGACCACGGTGAGTGCTCTCAAGTTAGTGTCAGGTGTCAGGTAGCTACTTGTCTTTGTGTCTTCAAGGCTGCCGTGGCTTGGATAGTGTTTACAGCCCAGAGAGTACAGCAGAGAGAGAAGGGGGGAGGAGGAGGAGGAGCGGCGGCGAGGGAGTCACCGGCTTTGATCTGATGCAGACTGTTTGATAGCATGTGTGCGAGTGAGTGTGAGAAAAGAGAAGATACGGAGGGCGAATATGAGCGCACCGATGCTTTTTCAGTGGCACGTCGAGTAACGAATGTTTGCACACACAACTGCATGTGTGTGAGTTCATTCATGGCAGGGCCGGACCACGACTTCCTGTGGGTTCCTGTGCAGCTTTTTGATTTGACCTCTTATTAGGAATGTGGTGGTTGTACATTATTGGCTCACAGAGCTCTTTTTCTTTTTGCCTTTTTTTGCTTCAAATGCAAAAGTGCAACCGTCCATAAAGCGTTGGATTTGATGCATGCCAAATGACACATTCATCCCAAACTGAAAGTCCAGATATGCCAGTGAGGAGGGTGGATGTGATAAAAAACTTGTGCTTCTCTGAGGAACTGATGTCAAGATGCTAGCGTTGTGTGTGATAATCATCTCTCAAGAAAATGGTTCGAAATCTGTGTTTACAACAAAAGTCAACTAATGTCTGAGGAATCTGCTTTTCCACCATGCTCTAAAACCCCATGGCTTGGTTGAAGATGTAACTGTCACTATGCATGCAACAATGCAAAACCTTAACAACATGTAAGTTAGACCTTCTCATTCTGCACCAGTCTTCCTCTGCATGAAGGCTTTACAAGGCCTGGACTTTTTAATCAGCCCGTCTTTCACCGTTTTTTTTTTTTTTTCCAGCACCATGTTGTTGAGTCAAAGCCAATGAACAAAAATAAACATGTTTGCAGGTGCAACTATTTCATTGCTGCATGAAACATCCTCAGTGGAATTTGGTTTAGACCCGGGTCCCTTAGGTTTGCAATGCAGGTCGAGATATCGTTCCTCAGAAGGTTCCCCAGTTCCTGAAAGTTCCTGCAGTTGAAACGAGGTTTAAGTTTCCAGTCTTTGTTAACAGCTGACTTTACTGGCACCACGCGCTAGCTCTCTGATCTACAGATCTGCAGAGAATCGAGCATCACCAGGCGAAACCTTCACCTCCAATGCTTAGCAACTTGTACTGAACTGCCCAGCTTGAACAGATTTGACGAAAGATTTTATTACATTGCTGCTTTCTCATGGGCATATATCCAAAAATGGAAATTTGGAAGTCATAATTTTAAGATAAGTGAAATTACTACTACACAATTTAGGCATATTTAATGAATACTTGAAGTGCCTGCCTTTAAACTTCTAAACTGTAATAAATAGTATGGACCCTGTGATTTAGAATAGTCCCTTATTTCAATTACCTACTTTAGCAACTATTTTCACACAATCCTTTCTGTTTGTGATCATTTTGTATCAAGTGAAATCAGCTGCCGCGCTGAAAGCCAGATGACACTGACTCACATTTAACCTCGCGCAGATCCATCAAATGTGTCAGGACAGGTGCAATTTGCACAAATGCGTAGCCTGCTTTCTAACAGTTATAATTGTGATTGAAGAGAAGCATAAAATTGCAAGGACAAAAGAGAGAGACCAGCAAGAGAGAGAGAGGCGGTCGGAGAAAGAGAGGAGGAGACCAGACATGCAGGTTATTTTTTCTTTTTTTAACACCGTGTGTGTTTTTAGGGCTCCCCCGGGGCCAGACAATTAAAGAGCATTTAAAAAGATGACAGAGCTCGGTGCGCAAGAAGGGGAGAGGTTCGCAGGTGTATGAGGAGCATGCGAGTGTTTTTTTTTTTTTGTGCACCATGTATAAATGCATGCGTGCCTGTGGGAATGAGTGTGCGTGCTGCATGTGGGTGTACTGCACGATCACGCAAAGGTGTGCCCGCTTAACAGTCCGGACATCTACGTACTTGAGGTATTGTTAAAATAAGGAACGACGCATAAAGCATCACTTGGCAGTAGCATTTTTAAAACTGACAATAGACAGAGGGAGAAACAACAGACATTCCACTACAAAGAGAGAGAGAGAGAGAGAGAGAGAGAGAGAGAGAGAGAGAGAGAGAGANGAGAGAGAGAGAGAGAGAGAGAGAGAGAGAGAGAGAGAGAGAGAGAGAGACATTGTGAAGAACAGCTCTGAAAGAGTTTTTGTGGGGCCATAACAAAGGCCCCTCAGAAAACACAGTGGCATAGGAATGTTAATTAATTAATGAGAAACTATTCAGCCTACAGAGGATGGTGGAGAAAGAAAGACAGAGAACGAGAGAGACTGAGAGACGGACAGACAGGCCCAGTAGGGCAGACAAGCTTCAAACTGGCTGTAGAGACTTTTGTCTGGGTAGTTTTATATTTTAAAAAAAAGTACATTGTGAAGCTGCTCTAAGTCTAACGTGCTTGAGTGAATTTCCATGTCCTTTTCTGCAGAGTGTGTGTCATAAATTTAAATGTTGCATACTTGTATTTGGCTTTGTGTGTGTGTGTGTGTGCATTTGTATAACATACTGTCAGACAGAAGCCTCTCTTCCTCAAACCTGAGCTTTCCAAGAACTAAGAAAACAGTTTTCCGCACTGACTGAAATGCATTTTTTGAGTTTATCCACCAGTGTTTGAAAAGATTTTACGACCCTGACTTGGTATTTTTTTTATCAGCTCATAGAGGACAATGTATTTCCTCTAGTAAAACATGAGATCACTACATGTGGAGTTAGAAGGAGTAATCGCTAGCAGTGTTTTTACCATCATCGGAATTATTAATTCAGCTTTTCACCGGTTCGTACGAGCTGCTGGGAGATATGCCTGAAATCTGAGGTAAAGGAAGGAATAAAGTCAGTGCCTGCTTTAAATGGTAAGCCAGTTTTTCCCCTCTTTGATTTGTTATAATTATAGAATGCATCATTAGGCTGTTATGCAACATCCTGTACTTACAGGTGCACAGCATGTAAAGCTTAGTTGTGTAACATATGAGGCACATATCCTATTGGAGGAATGTATTAGAACTGTCTTGCCTTGATCTGTGTTGCATTTGTTCTTAGTAGAAAAGCGCAGTTTGAATTTTCATATTAAGATTTTACAAGGTCGCAGTAGAAGAACGTGAGGGTCGGATGAGATTAATGTCAAGATTCTGTTGAAAAACTGTGAGTGAGAACAGATAGACTGCGAAATACAGACAGGCTTCAGCTGGAGGCAGCTGAAACTTCTTCACAAATCCACACTCTTCTCTCTGCAGACTGGAGTGTGTGTATGTGAAATGGATATGTGAGTTCCTTTGCGCCGGTCACTCATAATCTGTTATTTATCTATGGGCATCCATGTGCGTGTGTGCATGCATGCATGCGTGCGTTTGCTGCGCGTGTGCGATCACGACATTCCAGCGGCGGAAACCTGAGAAGGTGTGACTTACGAGACACTGGATTCTGCTCTTTCTGGGGACTGAGGGGTGCTGAAGTGTCAGAATTCCAATTTCCTCCAAACAGTCACTCCCAGTCACACACTCTGACCCTCTGCCTTCTCTCTCACACGGTTAAACACACTCTGCTGCCTTCATTCTTATCCTCCAGAGCTTGCATTTTCTCTCCTCTCTCTTTCAGCTGTAAACACTGTCTCTCATTTGCTCTCAGTTCCATTCATAAGGCCCCACAAGGAGCAATCTTGTCTCACACCACTGTGCGCCACCACCCTCTCCTTCTCCAAACTAAACACTCACCCTTTTCTCTTCAGATTGAGATTCTAGGCTAAGCAGAACAGGGGGGAAAAAAGGAAGAGAGGGAGAAAGAGAGGGAAGAGTTTGAGAATCGCGGGCCCCTCCCACTTTCCGGAGATGCTCCAGCCCATCCCTAAATTGTGGGCCAATGAGGGTGGCTCATTCACAACTCATGCGCTCCTTCTACAATAGGTAAGGAGAGAGAGACAGAGAGAGCAAGAGATATATACAAGGAGAGAAAGAGAGAGAGAGGGGGGAGAAAAAGTGAATGTGTTTGGGGGAGAAAGACGGTGCAAAGGAAAGGCCAGAGTGTGAGAGAAGACAGGAAAGAAGGGAAAGAAGTAATAGCAAAGCTGGACCCCTGGGAATGAAGTAGTGAATGAGGGACAGGCAGATAAAAAGAAGAGATGAAGACCCTGTGACAGGACAGATTTACAGAGTGGACAACCTGCAGGGGTGAAAAAGGCAGTGAGGGTTCTTCTTCTTTTTTTTTTTCTTTTTTTTTTTTAAAGAGAGACGTGCGCATTTAGAGGAGAAACAAGTCCTCATTTATCTACATCACAGAGGACAAAAGACAGTGTGACAAGACAGGAAAGCCCTCCAGGTGTAGATGCAGACAGGTGGTCAGTCAGACATGCTGCTAGTGTTCCTGCTTCTGGCTCGAGGAGTTTGGGGGTCGACCCCGGGAGTGTGGGGGTACGGACGCATCCAGGACAGGCAGGGGCCGGCGGCACCGCTGTGCCCACCTCCGTGCCAATGTGAAGAAGATGGGATCTTTATCATGGTGGACTGCTCAGAGATGGGACTATCGTCTGTGCCGACCAACCTCAGCCCTCTCACCACGTACCTGTGAGTAACATGCTAACTGTAACACCTGGGTGCGTTATCATGTCCCATTTCACTTAAACCTTTGAACCTCTGCACCTCTGGGCCTCTGACTATGTTCTGTGTTGTAGAGCTCCAATAATTATTTCCACTTTCACACCGAGTCCTCCCTCCTGATCCTCACTTCTCCACTCAATCATCACAATTTCTCTTTCAAACTGTTGTCCGAAAAACAGATCAGTGCTGCTGAATTGTAGCTGGTATTTCATCTATTTGTAAAAATAGAGCAGTAGGCAACAGTTGGTTGGATGTGTGACCAGGAAACACTGGCAGAGCCCACATGTAGATAAAAATGGACAGGGCCAAGTGGGAACATGTGTATGTAAGAGAGAGAGAGAGAGAGAGAGAGAGAGTGTGTGTGTGTGTGTGTGTGTGTGTGTGTGTGTGTGTGTGTGTGCGCGCGCTGGCCACTACGGCAAAATAACTGGACCACTTTCAGTGTCAGGTTTCCAAGCACCAACTGGAGACCCGCCACGAGAGTGTATGCGTGCACACATGTGTAGGCAATGCCTTTGTGTATGTCAGCGTGTTTGTGTGTGGATGTATGCGTGTGTGCATTCTGCAAGCATTTCACACAAGTTTGCATTTGTGTGAGTATAAGGAGGTCACAGATGTCTACATGTGTGTAATGATCTCTTTTTTCCCCCTTTATTCTGTATCAAAAGATAAAAACACAGAGGTTAAGGAGATAGAAATAGTTGTCATATGACCTGGAAAAGCTTCATTAATTCTCTGTTTTTAGATAACGTGACAAAAAAATACTCTTTTGTGAGACTTTATACGCTAAGGTTAAGGAAAAGTAATTTTTAAATGTGATTTGCGAGATTGTGTTTGACAGGCTGGCCGGAGCACACGGCCCATGCTGCAATTACAATTAAAAACCTAATTACGAGCCATTTTAAGGGTAATAAGAGAAGCTTTGGACCGAGCCGCATCGTGCACTACCCCGCCTCGGCTTAAAGCCAGATCTTTCAAATTGCTTCGCTACGTAAGCCCTCGGAGGACAGATTACAAGACGTTTTGCGATAACTGATATTGAAGTGGTAGAAGTCAAGTCCAGGAAACAGGGTGTGATGGAGCAGTTCTCGCTAGGGGCTCCGCAAGTATTACAAGACTAAAGGGGCAGAACTCAGAGGGAATAAGGAAAGATCAACAGTTTATGTAGCGAACGACTTTAAAAGAGACACATAAAAGAAGTCGACTTGAATGATGCCCGACTCTTGGACTGTCATGGGAGTCGGTGACGGCCAGATTTCACCGCGTTCATTTGAAAGCTAAAACACATGTAGAGTTTATGACGGTGAAATATGGTCTCTGACTCCATCCAGGAATCGTTCTACCTATGAGAACATCAGGCTTTTGGCCCGAAGTGTCACACAGCTAAATCAGCACACACCCATTGAAAAGGCTGAATCTTTTTGAGGGAGAGCAGTTGAGCTCCTCTAAAATAAAAACAGTGATGACCTGAGACTCCCTCTGTGGAAATCTACACTGCTCTTAACTGCTCCACTACAGCCACACACAAACACCAGGACGGACACACACAAACACACACATCATTCCCTGCAAACACAAGCTTAATTGTTCATTTCCCCTCGTTACCTAACGGTGGAACTGGACCAATTAGTGAGTTTGAGGGCTGATTTAGAATAAGATAAATAAACTCAGCGACCAACCGCACACGCCCACACACACATTACTTGTAGAGGAGAGGAGAGGAGGGGAATGTGGGACAGCAGGGGGGGAGATGCCGCAACAAATTAAGATACAACACACAAGAATCGCAGATTTCTCTTTTGCTCTTTCTGATAAAAATCATCAAACACAAACAAAAACAGCCTCCCTCCCCTCGCCCTGCCTGCCTGCACATAAAAACTCGGGTCACAAGTGCCGTCGCGGCAGGCTACGGTTTCTCGTTTCGTCCTGGAGTATAAACGGTTACAAAAAGGCTGCGAGCCGGGGTCCAATCCTCCACCAGGATCTGTCGAACTGTCCAGCACGCCCCGCTGTGCTGCGTAGACAGGATTAGCCTCCAAGCACATACTGTAGGCTGCCGAGGTCACAGGGATTTGCTTGGGAACAGTCCACATTACAAAACCACATCCACACAACGCTGTGAAAGTGTATGACATCATTCGCCCGTGTCATCGGAGAGCTCTTCAAAGTGAGCCCAGACGTACACGCTACGGCGGCCGAGAGGGCAATCCAGGCGATGTCGTGATTCACTCTGTTTTCTAGCGTTTGTTTGCACACTTGGACGACCCCCGCACCGCACATAGGCATAAACACAACTGCGATTGGCTGCAGCGATGGTATCGCAACACCGAGGCGAATACAGGTTGACTCTGCGAAAGGAATTTAACTACGGGGAGCTGAAGGTGCTCCGAGCAACTCCAGAGCAGAGTGGGTAGAGATTTATGACAATAATCGTTTCCGTGGGCAACGCATGAAATGAGCTGTCATGTGAGACGCTTTGAAAGACCTTCTCTTTGATATAAGATTAGGAAGGAAAGACAGTGCCCAAGGGTGTGTGTCTGTGCGAGTGTGCGCGGATGTGCGTGAAGAACACTCTGTGCAGTACAGTACGTTGGGTATCTGAGCTGTTTTTATGCGTAGCTGCGAGCACGGTAGCTCTACATAAAGAGATGGCTTGTGAGTCGCGAATGTTAGCTCGGCCGCCTCATTGATGAGCTGAATATTTGATTATTTGGAATTAATACGCTCATCATTTGGCGTGCAGGACGTGCTGCACATCAGTTCCTAAGTTTGCAAGGTGCTTATGTCTACCCACGCTTGTGTGTTAAAGAGTGTGTTTGTGTCTGGGGCTGGAGTTGAGGAGCATTTAGGTGATGCTTTTTGGTAGCGGTGAGTGCGGCGAACTTCTAACAGTGTTTTGGCCGAGGCCAGGAAACCACAGCGAGCGCATTACCAGACAGAGGAAAACCAAGGAGTGTGTGAGCACGAGCGCGTGTGCCTCTGTGTGTGTGTGTGTGTGTGTGTGTGTGTGAAGACCACCCAGATTGCAAAGGGGATTTTTTTTTTTCTAGGCAGTGGAGGTGAAGCAAGAGTGTAACAATAAAGAGGAGATGGAATATGAAGAAAAAAGGGGGAGAAAACCTTGACAAAAGGTGAAGATTAGAAATTGCCAACGCAGAAACGGGAAGATTTCGAAGACCGAGTTTAGCTTTAAGTGGCGGCAAACGTACGTATACGCGGAAACTGTTGGGGGGACAACATCCTGCCTCTGTGTGGTGGCCGTGACAGTAAGAGTCGTGTGCGTGTCATTTAGCCATTATGTTGATGGAATGATTCCTATCATGAGTGACCGGGGGTCACACTGTAAACATCATGTCTGAGAGAGAGAAATTCTAATTGATAGAGGAGGGGAGGAGGATTTGAGGGGCAGGAAAGTGAACAAAAATAAGAGAACTGAAGAAGAAGAAAAAAAAGAGAAGTGTGTGTGCTTTTGTGTGTGTGTGTACTGACAGCGGAGGGTCCTCTATACAGCAGCTATCAGCTTCAGCATCAGTGTCCTGGCTCCAGACGTCTATGGTAGCCCCCCGCCTCAACCACACTCCCCTCCTTCGCTCTCTCTGTTTACTTCCCCCACACCTATTCTCCTTTCCTCACCTGTTTCCTCCCTCTGATTCAAAAAAAAAAAATCAAGTGATTGAGCGTGTGCCAAAGTGTTAAAACCGAACTTCAACATTTAGATATAAAAATGCCAAGCTTTTTTAAGTTACGTTTCAGAGATAATAACACTCGGGAAATCACTTACAGTTCACCTGTGCAGGTCGCTGGTGTAAACAATGAAGCAGGGGGTTTGTTGCTCAGATGTAGAACAATACTACAGAGGAAGAACAACAAATAAAACCAGAGATTCCCTTAACTGCGCAACAGCTGCCAGCGTAGGCAACGAGGGAAGCAACTTGCACCTGTAATTTGCTACCCGAGTTGAATTAACCGCTATTAGTCAACGCTGGTGTCTTTGTATCCTTCTGGTAAACGGTCATTTGATAGGAGCGTGACGAATCAGAGAATGGCACGTAATGACAGTTCAATCAGAAAGCAAACAGGAGCGTCACATTCGGGAAACTGGGTCAGCATCTTTCCAAAAGTGTCTGTTTTAGGGGTGACATGTCAAACCAGTGTGGCTGCATGGGTTAAATGTAGCCCATTTCAGTTCAAAAAATGAAAACATGTTAGTGTGGAAGTGCAAAGGTGTGATCACTGAAGTGAGATTCTTAGAAAATTTAAATGCATATAGCTCAGGGCAGCGGAATAAGAAAAGTTAAGGGTGTGTTCCCAAGACAAATGCTGTAAAAGTTTTCAAGGTGTGTGTGTGTGTGTGTGTGTCGGTTGGGGGGGGAGGAGGTGCTTTGGCAACCATCCAAATAACTGTCAGCTGTGATCAGAGACTTACGCACCTCTGATTATACAGAGGAAGAAATCTGTGGCATATACCATCATAGTTAATCTCTTCTGCTTAAAAAGTTGCATAAACAAGCACAAGTTGTTTTTTTTTTTCTCCCTCTTCTCAATTACTTTCTTCATTCACTCCTTTGTTCCTTCCGTCCTTCGCACAAACTTCAACCGTTTGCCTCAAAGTGTCAATTCCTCAGCTCTCTCTTAGATTCCCTGGAGGCCCTGCAGTGAACACCGGCAGAAAAAGCCACTTCCGCTCGCTACAAAAGTGATATTTATGCCAGAGGGGTGTTGGAGAGAAGGGAGAGGCGGTTAGCATCGGGATAGTGTGCTGGTTTGTGGTTTCCTGAGAGCAACCTGGGAGGCTTTTAAATGTCGCTCAGGGACAGACGACAGGTAGGCAGGTAACAGGACGACAATGGCAACAATGACAATTCCCTCGGGAGCAGCAGGCAGAGAAGACACAGAGGCCATAGTGTGCTCTCGCACTCCATATCCTGTCCTTTAGAAAAAAGCAGAAAGCAATCACGACACAAGAT